CATTTTTTTGTAATACAGTCGAACACGGGTATATCAAGCTCAAAGGGGATCGCCAATTAGTTCGATATATGAAAAATTCTATGTAAAAAAATACAGGCCCTGAGAGCTTACCTGAAGTGAACCATCACCTACAATAGGTGCATTCAAAAATGACAACTGATTCCGCACACATGCCATGACAGAATGATTTATTTGCGGGAAAAAAATCGCTTAACTTGGCCTGCTTCTTCATTTTTGAAATGAAGTTGAAGACACTAATCTCAATCTTATCAAGGCTGTCTAGGTGCGACAGCCCGGTTCCCTCCATGTGGCTGATGCAGTGACAAATGACGCTGAACGCTGCCGCCACTTCAGTGGGGGAGTACGCGTGTGTAGCCAGTGTCTCGTCCGCACTAACATCCTCGTCACATTAGTTGTCGGCCTGGGAACCCTGGGTCCCTGCAACCGCAGCTATGTCCTCGTCAGCAAGGTTCACAATGGCCTGGACATTGCAGTCTGCTTATACGTAATCGTCCACAGACATTTCGTGTGGAACTGCTGCTGGGAAGCGGGACAATTCGTGAAACGCATCATCTATGCGCTAGTCGTCGTCTTCACCGGTTTCCGCTACTCCCGCCGTCTCAAAGCCTGCCTAGTGCAAGCAGTTGCCCACTGTGTCTGTCCTTACGTCTCAACAGGCATTGAAGATCTCCGTGGGAGAAAACTTTGCAGAGATTTCCGGCCACTCCTTCGTCAACAACTGCTGGACGTCCTGGCTGCTGACAGCTTCGCTTTCTCCAGAAATGGTTTTGCCAACAATTTTGTAGCGCTGCTTAAATTGGTGAAGCCACCCGGTTTTCTCGGCGCTCTTGTTTTACCGAGCGCGGCGGCAAACCATTTGGCCTTGGCCATCAGCATTAGGCCATCCACCTGATTGTTCTTCGCGTGCACTTCCAAAAACCAGGCATAGAGTGCTTTTTCTACATTCCCATGGGCAGGAGCGTGGACATGACAGGCTCCCAACGTTCGCTGCTTCGCCGCCTTTGCCTTCAACAAGGTAATAGAGTGCTCCGTGGTTGAACATTTTTTGCCCATCTCAACACGCTGAATAGCCTTTAACTTCGTTGCAAAGTCAAGGGTCTTGTGCTTCTTGACGCTGGCCATAGCTACACCAGAAGCCGACAATTCAAGGAGTCCGCAGCGGCTTTGCACTCCACGCACGCAATAGAAAAGTGTTGCTCATGCGGTGGTACGTAGGCGCCGCAACAACGAAAGAAATAAAGCGCTCATGAGGGGATGGCCACCTGCGAGGGCAACAGCAAAAGGCACGAGCTGTGGTTGGCCTATCAAAATTCGCAAAACAGCAACAAAAATAAAGTAAAAAGCGAAAAGAGGAGGACGTCTGCTCCTTCGTTCCTGCTCTCCGAGCCGACGGGTACGCTGAGAAAGCATGAAAGAGAGAAAAAGAAACGAAAAAAAAAAAAAAAAGCTATTCCGCAAGTTAGAGATTGTGCAATTTGAGCCCTCTCGCCCTTTCGTTTTTTGAGCGTTTCGGGTTTTAGCAGACGGGTGGTGCCGCGCGGTGGTCTCCAGGCACGCAGAGCTGTGCTGCTGTGTTGATTGCAAGGTGTGGCGAGTGCCGAAGTGCACCTTTCAGCTCACGCAGCTTATGATATATCCGAAGGGAGGTAAAAATACCATTCAATATAAGCGTGCGAATTTTTATACTTTTACAAAGAAATTTCAGGGGATAACTTACGAGTTCGATATACATGAAAATTCGATATATGTGGATTCGATATATCCGTGCTCGACTGTATGTTGAGTGTATAAGTAAACTTCATTTAGCGTTTTCAAGCAGCATACCGTATTTACTCGATTCTACCGCGCCCTCGATTGTAACGCGCACCTGGTTTCCACGACAAAAAAAAAAAAAAAAAACTAAGACATCGATTGCAACGCGCACCCATTTTTCTCGTTGGCCCGCTTGATCACACCACTCGGGAAAACGACTTCTTTTGAGAGCGTCTTCCGTTTAAATATGAGGTACGGGGGAAGCTTGTGCTTATCTCACCTGCAACGGAGCATTGCTGTCACTCTAGTTTTACCGTGGCCCGATGTCAGCACACGAACTTGCTTCGCCCCCTTCTCCTCGACGGTTGTGGTGCCAGGCATGTCGAAGTAAAGAGGCGTCTGATCGGCATTCCTGATTTGCCCAAGCAGGTAGCCGTTGTTGTGCCGCAAGTTTATGAAGAACCGCTGAAGACTCTGAAGCTTTTCTTCATACTCCTCCGGCAACTTCCGGCATATGCCCGTTCGCCTTCGGAGGGAAAAGCCTTTCCTCTTCATAAAGTTAGTTAGCCAGCACCTGCTCGCTTTAAACTGGCTCTGCATTAGCCCCTTTTTTTAAGGCTAACTGCATAGCCTGCACTTGGAGCAGTTCTGTCGTCACGGGCTGCTGTGCCGCTCACTGCTTAATCACATACTCGCCGAGCAGCTCTTCAATTTGTGGAAACCGACCCTGCTGTGGTCGACTGAAGCTTTTGCGTGAATCTTTGCTGTCGACAATATCCTGCTTTTCTTTCCGCCAGTCCCGCACGCACGTTTCGGGAACTCCGAACGACCGCGATGCGGCCCGATTTCTGTCCGTTTCGGCACACGCGATGACTTTTCTTTTGAAAGCAGCATTGTGGTACACTCGTCGAGTTTTTGGAGTCGGCCCTACCATGCCGTCGATGCTAATGTGCTACAAGATGACGAACTCCTCAGCACACGTACGAAGTGCCGCACATGGAAAACACATAGGCAGAAATGGCCGACACGCCATGCCGACGCACGTAGGGGGCGGCCATTTTGGAAGTGCCGATAGCAATAGAATGACCATATTCATGTTTTTTTTACTCGATTCTAACGCGCATGCGATTTATGAACTCGCTTAACCGGAAAAAAGGTGCGCGTTAGATTCAAGTAATTACGGTATTTGGGCGTACTTGGCATGTTAGCATTTGGTTTTTGGGGGCAAGACGAACTCCTGATAAAATGAACAAATGATCGTGGTCACTTTAAGTTCGTCTTAGCCCCGCCGTGGTGGTCTAGTGGCTAAAGTACTCGGCTGCTGACCCGCAGGTCGCGGGTTCAAATCCCGGCTGCGGCGGCTGCATTTCCAGTGGAGGCGGAAACGTCGTAGGCCGGTGTGCTCAGATTTGGGTGCACGTTAAAGAACCCCAGGTGGTCCAAATTTCCGGAGCCCTCCACTACAGCGTCTCTCATAATCATATGGTGGTTTTGGGACGTTAAACCCCACAAATCAGTTGAGTTCGTCAGGAGTCTGTTGTGATTGATAATTATCGTAACTAGGCTGCATGAAAAAAAAAAAAACTAAATGTGGGGAGGCCAGGCTGTTAAAAAAATCTATAACATGTGAAGAGATATCGAACACATCAGTAATGGGGACAATGAGCTGCAGATTTTTTGCTTACTTAAATTCGGAAGGGTTTACGGCACTGATTAAGAAGGTTCATAGAGCCGTTGTATAAGAACATAAGAAATTTTAGGTGCTGAAACTCCTTGATATCTTGTTTTTTTTACTTTTTGATCTAGTTCCATATTTGAAATGGCAGTAAGTGAAGCCACCACCTCTACTGCATTGATTGTTTGACATTGCTGGTTTGAATCTGTTTACAGCCGTGGTGGATTTCTATAGTTAGCTTTGCTGCAAAGCCAAAATGCTACATGGTGAAGCATATTATGAATACAAAAAAAGAGGGGGGGGGGGGGGGATCTTTAGTCATAGTGTCGGTGAATACCACCTTTGCATGGCACGGAATAGCCTATTCATGTTCAGAGAGAGAGGTTGGAAGGGGGACTGGAGAAGTGTGCTTAGCTGGTGACATGCATAGATACCTGGTGGCGGTCGTGGTGGCGGGTGGAGTTAATAACATAATTAAAAGTTCTTTGTGCCAAAACTGCAGTATTTTTATGAGGCACGCTGCAGCGGAGGATGATGCAAAAAATTTATACCACCTGGTGTTCTCTGGACTGAAATAAGTTTTCATCATCATCACCTGGTATTCTTTCACGTGCGCTGAAAATGTACAGTACGTTTTCCTCTAGTATTTTGACTCATTGAAGTGCAGCCACTGAGGTCAGGATCGAACCCACGACTTTTGGGTCAGCAGCTGAGCACCGTAACCATTATACCACTGCAACAGACAGTAGGCAGAGATGCTGCTGCAGCTTGAATCTCTCGTTCTCTGCTTTCTCTTCAAGGATTGTGCGTTTCGTTTCATTTCAGTACGGACACCCAGCAGCCAGAATTCATCGCTATAACTCGAATGTCCCAAGCTCTCCTCACATAGCGGACCGCAGTGAAAACATTTTGTCCCAGAAGGGCCAACAGTTGAGAAATTTGAAGTGAGGGTTTGTAAAATGTTGGCTAATGTTGCCATTTCAAAGGCGCAGGCTTTTTCTATATTTCATGCATCATTTCTGAAATGGACTTTGCATCGAGATTCGAGAAGTATGTCCACTTTGACCACTATGATGGCCAAAAATTTGCGTGTTATGAAGCATTGACTTGACTTCGATTATGTGTGAATACGCGGTGACCGCATAGTGTGACTCATGCAGAAAAATGCTTGAGACCAGTCCAGTCTCCATAGCTCACTGAAAAAGATGTTATTAATCTCAGTGGGGGATAAATAATGTGAGTACTGTTCATCAAGGTGTTTAAAGTTGCAGTCCTTGTGAAGCTGCGGGCTGTTAGCAAAAGGTTTGCGGGCCGTGTGTTTGAGACCTCTTATATAACTGACAAGGCGGTGTGGGTGCATTGTTGCGAGTGGGTAATGTCGCCATAAATACAAAAGTTGACGGTGCAGCAGCTTCTCATTGATATAACCGATATATCAGTAACACCAGTGTCATTATAAGGGGAGGGGGGGTTTTACTGTGCAGCCTACTAAATATGTACCAGTATCCTTTGCGGCAGTAGGTAATTGCAGCGCTGATCTTCACATGTGCAGGTCACCAACCTGTGCCTGGTGAGCGCCCAGAGACTGGGCGTCCTGGGTGGTGGCTGTGTGGCTCTGGCCACCGAAGACCGCTGCTTGCTGCTGCTGGACCTGTGCTTGGACAGTGCCCATCACTACTCGGATGAACTGAGGCCCGCCAGCTTGGTGCGGTTGGAGAGCGTCTTTTCTGATGATCTGCCAAACATCTCTCCGGTCCATGGGGACCCCAAGCACTGCTTTGTGCCCCTCTGCAGTGAGTATGGGGAAACCTAGTGACTAGTTCTATAAAATACTGAGCGAGTATTTCCCCGGCATAATTTTTTTATTTTTTTTCAACCTGTTCTCCGTTACGGAAACCTGCAGCAGTGGCTTCCAGGAAACCGTGTTCTGAGAGTCTATTTCTATGTGCTTTTTTGGGGGGTGCCTCGAAGGTGTGTTTTGAATTGTCACATATTGTCTGCACATTTGAAGAACGTCTCCATGCTTCATCTTTACACATGAAATTTCTTGCGAGGATTCTCTCTGGTTTCTGTGAAAACAGTATGTTATCTTGCGGCGTCTTTGAAGCACCCGAGACGTTGTAGAAATGGGAGGATGGATTTACTTAACTCTCATAAAAACACAAGCCACACAGGCCACAAACCTCACGAGCGTCTCTCCTCAACGTCGTCGTCTTTCTTCACTGTTTACAGAAGGGCACGTGCATTTCCAACAAGTGCATGCGTGCGTATATGGTAAGGCATTTCATTAGAAAGACAGATGTGCATTCTTGGATGGTCTTCCCCTGCTATCTTGGATTTTGGTGTTGGTTTCAGATTGAGCAAGGCCCCCCCTTTCACTCCAGATCTTGTGCAAGTGGGAGGGGAGCTTGCTTAAGACTTTATGATACTTCAGTAGACTCTTACTAAATGCACCCTGAAAGGATAAGGAAAATATGTTCCATTTAAGTTTTTTTTTTTACTGAGAGATAAACAGGAAGGCAGAATATAAGCACAAAACCAATCATATCAAATGCAATTCGTTCATTTTAACAGCAGTTTCATTCGAATGATTTTTGTTTTTTATATGTGCCAGGATGTGCCATATGTATTATGCTAACACGTAAGCACAAACGTCTGGTGAACACCATTGTTACATTGCTACTAGCAATGCAATAGATACGATTAAATCACAAGTCTCGTTTAGAGTATCCTCAACAAGGCATCTCCTTTTCGAAACTCCCAAGAAAGTTGTGGCTCTCTCGTTCAATCGTATGGTACCGTATTTACTCGCATAATAAATGTATCCCCAACTTGAGTCGTCAAAATTTGGATTCCCCCCTCACGTAATAAATGCTGCAGTCCCGCTAACCGGCACCTGGTGCCATATTTTTTCGTTAATCTTGTTATCGACAGTTTGTTTTGATGCTTCAAGGGTAGCTTGCTGCAATGTTACTTACTTGCTACATTGTAAACAACATCATCGCAGTCGTCGTGTGAGGTTGCTGGATGTTGGCAAAATGCATCGTAGCGCACGCTTCTCTGGGCACCCCTCGAGGTCACAGCAAATACCACTGTTGCGGGTAAACGATTGCGAGAAGAGATAGCTGCAAAAACGCTTTTATGACGTGGGTGGCGGCGTGGAGACAGCTTGCAGAATATAGCGTCGTCAACCCCCGAAGATGAGTAATGTGCAGCAAAGAAGCTGTTTCCAAACAGTGTACGCGTATGCAAATTGCAAAAGGCTAAGCGATTGAACTTTTTTTTGCATTACCCCATTTTTTGCTTCTCCCGTAAAAGTTTGCATAAAATTTGCGCTGCACAATAAACACACCTCCAACAATGCTTTGATTTTTCGAGAAAAAAAGTGTGTTCATTGCGCGAGTAAATACGGTGTACCACATGAAGGCCATGTAATCTTTTTCAAACACAGGCCTACTTATTGAAGGGACCCTGAAACAGTCTTTTGAAGTTTTGCTAGTATTTAGTTTAGAGCATCATCGAGCCGTTCGCCCCACAAATTCAGCGACATGCCATGTACCAAGGCCACTACAGACAATTAGTATATCATACACTTCTCGCCCCTGCCTTGCCTCCTCAACTCATGAGACACGCTGGCATTGCTGGCAGTTGCAGAGCTGTCATGAGCTCACTCGACAATTACAGCTTCACTGAGTCATGACCTCTGAAATTGCTTGCCGACAGGTTGCATGCAATCTTGAAGACCATAGCCTAGTGCGTCCGGCAGCACGCACATCGTCTGGCTACAGAGACGAAGATCGCAGAGTGGTGAATATCTGCTACCAGCCGATCTTACACGCATTCCACACCCAATCAGATCAGCAGCCTTTTTAAAAGCTTTCAGCAGCCTTTTTGATCAACAGCAAACTTCTCTGCTTTCGAAAATAAGCACCATTCAAAAGCAAACTTAGTTACCTTCATTTCGATGTGCTAGATCGTATTTTTGTAAAGCTTGTAGCTTCACTGCAAAAACTTCTACATGGAAAAGACAGCAACTTTCTCTATGGGAAGGAAAGTTCTAATTGGAGACTATCTTATCTTATGATACCAATGCATTCAATTGATTGTGAACCCTGTTTTATTAACTTTTTTATTTCCTTTAGAGTGAGAATTAGGGAGGTACCTTGGTACAATCTGTGGCAAGGGAGTGATTTTATCTGATGTTGCTGGTGGTGATTTGGGTGCGGCAAGAATAATTCAGGCCTTATCTTTAGAGAATAAAAAAATAATGTGCTGGCTTTTACCACAAGCCCTTGGGCATTGTATTGTTTCAATTCCTAGATGTGCTTCTTTCAGGGCTTTGAAAAGTCAAAAATTTCAGAATTTCCTGCCCTGAAATGTGATTCAAAACCTGTAACTTAGGTATATTTGCCTTGGTGTTTCTGCAAGTTCTTCTTGTTACCTTTTCACGCTTGAAATGTGTTCTGTTGCAGACTTGGATGATCTTGCCGAAGTGGACGAAATGGCAGTGTCAAATGGTGAGTGTCTTGCCCGCTTGTTCGTTACTTGTGCAGTTGATTTTTTCTGGGAAGAGCAGGTTACATTTGCAGCTAAGACTTGATTCTTGCGATTTATTCAAAACGAAAGAGTTATGAAAGCCTTCTCAGCATGGCATTTTTTAACAGATTGTAGTAGAGTACTCTGTACGCCTTTGTGTTACCATCGTTTGCTCTATGGAGACACTAAATGAGGACGTTTACTATTCTAGGTGTTCAAGCTTCGTGCTCTCCAAAATTTCTGAACACTCTGCTCTCATTGCAGGCGCAAAACTCTAACGAGTTTAAGTGTCGCATAAGTGATGTTTTAATGGTGTTCCATACACCACAACACTATGTTTTACATTGAGTGCTGCATGTGCACAACATGTCGATTGCGATGCTTTTATATTGCCATGTTCTTTCCTCAAGTTTCGTTATCGTCTCATTACACTGTATGCAATTCTTAGGGCCAACGACGCCTGCAATGTTCGAAAAGCTTCAAGACTGTAGTAGACCATTTCGTTAAGCTCACGCCCACTACGCGAACATTACAGATTATTCTGGAACCTACGTGGTCGCTAGCGATAACGCTAGAATATTCGCTGACGCGTGTCTAAATACCGCCACAAGCCCCACCGCGGTGGTCTAGTGGCTAAGGTACGCGGCTGCTGACCCGCAGGTCGCGAGTTCGAATTCCCGCTGCGGCGGCTGCATTTCCGATGAAGGCGGAAATGTTGTAGGCCCATGTGCTCAGATTTGGATGCACGTTAAAGAACCCCAGGTGGTCGAAATTTCTGGAGCCCTCCACTATGGTGTCTCTCATAATCATATGGTGGTTTTGGGACGTTAAACCCCACATATCAATCAATTAAATACCCCCACGCTTCACCACTTGTCAGTTGATCACCGGCTGATGCTCTGTTTACCGCTATCAGTGCCCATGTGTTGCTATAATCTGACCTTCTGTTTCCTGGCCACAAGTTCGGCCGAATAAAGAGTTTAATCTTAGCATTGAGTCTGCTTCCTTCGTTCATGTGACGCACGACCCCATCACAAAATACGCACGGCTGTTATGGTTTTCATGTATGCTATGCTAAAACTTGTTGATTCAGGCCACTGCTATGTTTATCGGCATCTTGGTGTTTCAAACCGAAGCTCTTGAGTGCCTACCTAGTACTTGCAGCCCTGATGGTTCTTGAGGGTTAGCTTCACAGCAGTGCCGGTGTGTTCCGCAGTTAGGCCTACTACCTAAGTGGGTGTCACGAGGCTAGTCAACCCACAAGCTCTCGTGTAGGTTCTTGTGCATACAAACCGATGAGAAAACCCACATCGGTAAAGAGAACACGAGACCGTTTATGCACACAAGAAAAACAACGAAATATATTTTCAATAAACTAGATAAAGAGAAAGAAATAGGAGGAAAAACAAACAAAGCACACAAATTTGAGGAGAAATTAACCTAGTGACTGCGAAATGCTAAGGATGCGTAAGCTCCGCAATAGCAAAAGCGACTGTCACCGTTCGGTCGCAGCACTCTTGTAGACGGCGAGGGTTGATGCGATGGGGTGCAGACAAGGTAGATCAGAAGTCCAAGCGTTGCTCGTGGTTGAAGGTAGCTCCGGGCGCACCAAGGTCAGTGACCCCTCAGCGTTCGTCCTCCGACGCTGGGACGTAGCCCTGGAAACGGGACGAGCCTGGCCAAAGCCAAACGACGAACGGCCTGGCCAACGCCAGGCGATATATGATGCTCGGGTGCCCGACCAGGTGGGAGCCCGCAGCAGCAGCCTTGCCTCAGGAACTCGGCCGCCACCCCCACGCCCTGGTAGCCTGCTTGCCTCCGTCGCGTCCCGGCCACGTCTGCCCCGTTCTTCGTTCGGGCTTCTTCCAAACCAGCGTGGAGGCCTCTCATTGGTCCGAACTTCACGCGCCTCGTCTGCCCATCGTCTTCCTCACCGAATACATCGCGAAAGCGCGCGTCCACACCATCGGTCGTCGTCGTCTTCTTTCCTATGCCGGTGCACTCGCGCACATTTTAAACCGAACACTGGTTGCACTTGCGCACTTCACGAAACGCGCACTTCACTTATCACAGTGGGTTAATATGAAGAATACCAATAATAAAAAGAAGCCACTTGCCACTGGACTTCGTGTTTAAAATTAAGGGGAATCCTTTGAAAATAACAAGATTGCAACAACTTGGTTTTTGAAAGATAGTACACTGCGAACTCTTGTAAGTGAAACCTGAAGGGACCAGAAAAATGTGCACGGAGTTCCATTTGCCCAAATGTGAACTTTCAAATCCGAGTATTAAACTAATCGTGCTACTGGCAGGCAGTTCCATTTAAGCAGCAGTTCTGGTTAACAGACTTCCAATAGCAGAGTTTACTGTATCTGGGCGCTATATATAATATACCTTTTGCTGCTTATATGAACATGTAAAACATCGTAAAATTCATTGAGATCTGGTAATAATGAGCATCGGCAGTGCTGGCCATATTAATAACAAGCCCAACTTCAATGGAACGCTGTTCAGACACCGTCCACTTGACTGGCGTCATCTTGGTTTTGTTTTGTTTGTGAACTCCTGCTCATTTTTTACTGACCTTGGCGGTAGTGGTGGAGGTGTGGCCAAAGTGCATATGATTTATTTATGACTGGAGAACTCGTAGGGGCCTTTGAGTTTCGGGAACACCAGGGTAAAAATTCTTATTCCTCCAGACCTTGTCGTATTCTCAGCGTAGCTGTGTTATTTGCTGAAGTCGCTGTAATTTTGGGCTTTCTTTGTAATGGCCTACACATTTATAAACTGACGTAAGGCTGAAGGACGAGCTAGTTGGTACACCTTGAAAACTTCAGCGGCGAACCGCGATAAGGAAAGAGCGAGGGAAGGACACTGGCATTTAGTACTGTCAACTAAAGGCTTTATTAATCTCAAACATATATACCCTGCCAGACCATGCCACCCGCTTGTTTATAATAACTTGCTGTAACAACACCATCAAGTAGTGCAGTGGCTTGTGGGAGGAAGGTTACAGTGTGCAGACAGGTTGCAAGATGCTGTTTTGATTATAAGAGAAAGATGAAGGAAAGGCAGGAAGGTTAACCAGAAGACGACTCCGGTTTGCTGCCCTGTGCTTGGGAAGGCGAAAAGGGGGTGCGAAAAGATGAAAGAGAAGAAGAAGAGTTTGTGACAGTAGGGTAAAAATGTAGTGACTGGAGCAATATCCGAGCACTAAGGTGACGAGTCACTTTAGTGCTCATCAGGTCACGTGTCACCTGATTAAAATCAGGGGGCCACCTTACTGGATGAATCAGGTGTTAATTAAGTATGTTTTGATCAGTATGGAGCAACCTCGGTTCGCTGTATGAATTTTCAAAAATGTTATTTTTTTCTGTTTTATTTAGGATGATATAAAGGACGTGTTGTAATACAAGGCTTGGTTGGTAATAATATGGATGTGGTGTTGTGGGTGTTGGACCCCCAGTATTGGATTTATGAATTGAAGTAAAGAAGGTTAACTTGAAATAAAAGCGCATGAGTATACTCTATTTAGTATTCAAATCTAGGCCGATAGTTTTTTTTCTGAATTTTTTTTGTTCAAATTCCAGGGTTAGTTTAGATTCGAGGATTTTGAAAAATGCGCCATTTTTTATTGCAAAAAATCGTGCACTACTAGCATAACCTAGATGGTATTGTAGCCGTTAGTAGCCGAGTCAACAGCTGGAGGCCACCATTTTCATTTCGGGGCAAGTGCTGAGGTTCATCATTTCGAGTCACACCTCTGGTGGTCTGGGAGTGGCACGTAGCTCAATGGTGCCAAACAGGCGATGTCATTATGGTGCCGCTTCTAAAAGGAAAGTTGTCCTAGCCGCGGAGTTGTCGTCCAAAGTTGAAGCCTGATGGGACTTTGGAGTGGACGAAAAAATATGCGTTGCTGCAGGGGCTGCAGCGTGGGACGGCATCCCAGGAACCTTGATTGTGTGCTTTTTAAGTAATGCGGCATATTCAATGACCTTGATGACACCAAGGTTTGGTCACTGTTAGAAAGCAGTCACAAAGAAGTAGGCGATGATGAATCGGAAGGAGTGTGGCATCGGCAAGTGCTGAATCTTTATGATGCAAACAACCAAAAGCACCGCGAAAAAGACTAAGAACTTAACACACACAACAGGACTAGTGGCTGCACGTTTATCAAGTTATTTGCATCATGAACCAACTGCTTTGTTTCGTCTTCATATTCAATAAATGTTTTCTCTTTGTGAATACAATCTTTGCTCTTTCGTTTGGCCTACATTTGAGGTAAGTTCTTTAGGGGGTCGGCTGAGAATCAGGGTCGGCCTTGATTCGAGTAAATACGGTAGACTTCATTTTATGTTGTGCCAAGAGAGGCTTATACATCTTCACAGCTCTATTGCATGGAGAGGGGCTCACAGGGTCCCCCCCCCATTGTGAGTGATAGTGGGATTCCTGAAAGACAGAGACCTAGAAGGCCCTTGTCTTACAAGCTTTGTGAGTCCTTGTCATCTTGTGCACTTGCAGGTGACATGGAGGTGACATGCCTGCAGTGGCTGCCGCAGCTATCCTGTCTTGGCATTGGCTTGAGCTGCGGCACAGTTCACCTCTGGGACATCCACAAGTCGTCTTCCAAGTGCGTCTGCCTTTTCCTTTTGGTCTAGCCCCAGTGCCTCACTGGCATTGCTGGAGCACCTATTTCTACACTTTATTAATGGCATCTTTGGATGGTCACTGTGAGTTCGCAGTTAGAACAACTCGTTGACAGTGGAGACAAGCTCATTCGTTCATATGAATTCCTGAGTTCTTTTTTAAGAGTTTGCGAATGCTTTAATGATTTGCCTGGTTCTTTTCAGGAGTGAATACTTTCTAGGCCGGTGCAAGTAGTGAGCCTTGAGTTCAAAGCGAAGTGATTTCAGTCGCATACGTAATTTCAAATCGAATTTAATTAGCATGTAATGACATATTATAAGGAAATATGGGCATATTTGTCATGACAACTAACCTGTACAGTGTTTCTTAAAAATTTTAACAGGGTCTGTGCAAATTCCACATTTTTTGGTTCACAGGAAGCGGAAATACCTTCTTTAGTAGCAAAATTTGACTCTCATTAGAATGTTAATGATAACCTGAAGAATATTAGGTTTTAAAATTTAATATACTCACAGCTTATAAACTGGTATAACTAGCCTTTTAAACTTTGAGAAAGGCAAATGGATGTAAGGGTAACATATTTATTTAAGGGGGGACGTGCCTTTCGGAACGAACTTTCTTGTTACTGGTCAGATCTTGATGAAAATTGGCACAGAGACTAAGAATGACCTCATAATGCTTCCATAAAAATTTCAAGATGATATCGTGAAAACTTTCCGAGAAACAAATAATTTCATTACTGGACCTCGTGGAGCAGCTGGAGAGTTTAAAAAATGACATAGAAAGTTGGTAAACACTGTGTGCAGAGGTGAATGTATGCTGTAGGGGGCTGCGTTTTCAAAATAATTTTTTTGCAACGCTAAAATTTGTAGTTCATGTTTTCTCCACTGATACTTCAATGAGCACATTTGCACTACAAACAAGAAACCCTACCAAAAATTTTTAAAAGGCTAAATTTTAAAAATAAGAATGCAGCCCCCTGAAGCACAGTTCAAGGAGCATTACGAAAAAAACAGAATCAAAATCTGTGATGTAGTTGCGACACGAGCTGAGCAACATGCCAAAAAAACAGTATTGAGAAAACGAGGTTCAAAGTCATGAGTCACGGTTTACATGCCTAATAGGCACCATGGTTGTAGTCCTTAGTGTCCTTTGCAGTGCGGTGTCATCCGCGTCCTGTCGTACACCACCGTGACATTCTTGGTGGGTGTTCCCTCCATTTAGCTGTACACATTGCGAACGGCTGCAACAGCGTCGCAAAACACACGTGCCGCGGTTGCTGCGCCAGCAGGCCGAAATTCCCCCTTGAGATGCCTTTGAAAAGTCTTGTGGTGAATTCCCCTATGTGATACATTCATCACAGACCAAAAATCACTGAGTGCAGCTGATCCCTTTCCAATAGTTTTTATAGCTTGCATGGCCCGAATATTTACTTCAAATGACTTACCGTTTTCCATTCGCGGCGACGACCACGCATTTTTCGCGCCCGCGCCGCAAGCAGTGCAGGTGAGCACTATCTTTACCGCTAACCTGTGCTTAGTTTCGTGCTTCATCTTGAGTCCCCGCTCTTTGCACTGCGGGCACAGGGCACTGCCAAACAGACCATTCAGGGCCGCGCGTTGAACGAGGAAAAACTCATCTTCGTCTTCCGTTTAGATGTCGCTCTCGTCCCCTTGATCCATCAGTGACATCTTGCGCTCCGTCGCAGACACTGCTCTTAGGGACTCCTGAACAGCCGCGGCGCGTTCGCGAGATGCCTCCGCTGACACGAAACGAGGCTCTAATCGGGCCCGAATCGTGCTACTGGTGGTGCTGGTAGACGGCCTCGCATCCTCGCGCGAAGTACTTGGCTGAGCATCCGCGATGTCTACATCCTCGCGCGAAGTGCTAGGCTAGGCATCCGCGATGAATACATCCTTGTGCGAAGTGCTAGGCTGGGCATCCACGATGTCTGCAGCCTGCGTGGAACGACGAAGGGATGTTTCCTCAGACAGCACAAAGCACTGCTCCACAGGCATATGAATAGTTTCGTCGATGCTCGCGGATGATGCTCTGTGCGTGCTTGTGCTCGGCTGCGAGTCCTCGTCGTGCCGCACGCCGTCGTCGCTGCTCGCAGAAGTTGCCGGACTGAATTTCTTTTTCACGATCGGCGGCTTCGGCTTACAAGCACCAAATCGCTGCGCAGTCTTGCGTTTCTTCTTGGACGATCGCCGGTCCATGTTCGCATGCGGGAACCGATCTCAAAACTGCAATGCGCCAAACTGGATAACAACGTTTTTCTCCTTTCACGAGCACCGGTCTTATCGCAGCGCGATGCAATCTCGAAACCACGCCGCGACGAGTTGAAAACAAATGCAGTAAGCGGCCCGTCAGCGCGTAGAGCAGACGACCTTTGCGCCGATTGCTACAAGCAACCGCACGAAACCACGCCGCGACGAGTTGAAAACAAATGCAGTAAGCGGCTCGTTAGCGCTGTCAGCGCGTAGAGCAGACGAACTTTGCGCCGATTGCTACAAGCGACTGCACGGGCGACCAATGCGGAGCCGCCCTACAGTCACGTGACGCGCGTCGCCAATCAGAAACTGTTGTGATACCTTTACACTTTGGCTTGCTGTGGGCTTGCTCTTGCCTGGTTCAGCCGGCCGAGGCGGCAAATTTGAAACGGAAGAATCGCGCTATCTATAAAGACAAAGATGGCGGCGGTAGGTTACGTGGTTGCGGAGATATTGCGGTTCGAAAAACGCCGTTTTTTCGCAATTTCCGTGAAATTCATCGCCACCCTAGCTTCGATAAAAATTTTTTACGTCATTTCTACGCTGTTTTCAGGGACGAAACTTTGAAATTAGATAAAAAAGGGGTCACAGAATGTGAAAATGAGATTTTCAGAAAATCGATTTTTTGGCGATATTTCGCGATGCCAAAGCCGCGTCCCCCCTTAACATTAAAGTGGGGCTTCACGCCATTGTGGATTTTTTTTGATAAGGTGTTCTCAAGGCTTAGCATCCCTCCACTGCAGCGAAACTACATGTACAGTGGGTTAGGTACATGCGGATTTGTATACACTTATATGTTCATTTTGAATACTTTTAAATTTTCAACTATTTAAATTTGAATTGAAGCAATTTGAGTACAGTAACATTTGTTTCAATATTCAAAGAACCCTAGTGCTTTCACATTTAGTAGAAGCATTGTTATGATATAATTGCTGTTTTGTCATCCTTGTGGACTGCCTATTTGTTTTTCTCATGAAAATGTACTCCAATCTTGCGAATACCCTGCATAGTGCTGCAATATTTGAAAAAAATTTCATTTAGTAGCTCTATTATCGTATACAGTTAAACCTGCTTATAACGAACCTCCATATTATGAATTCCTCAATATAATGAAGTTTTTCTATTCCACGCTGTTTCTCCATAAAAGTACATGTATTTGCGACCTCTATGTAACTAAGTAACAAAGGGAGACAGCCTCGATATAACGAATTTTCACCACTGGCAATCTAGGAATTCTACACATTTTGGTATGAGCATGCATCTGCTGCGGCTGCCCGACCACCGGCGAAGTGGCGGCGGCGCACAGGGCACACCAGGCGAGAGCGAGTGCCTGTTATTTCAATTAATTTATTTATACATACGTGAAGTCGCACACGCAAGTTGGTCAATATAGCGAAACTAAACGAATTCGATGCTACGTGAACCAAACGGCGTGTGTTAGTATTATTAGACTTTATTTTCATTTCTGAGTACTTTTTAGTATTATTTATTTTTATATATTTTTTGTTTACGTTTTTGTTTGTTCACCCTTTACAAGAATACCCATTCATTTATTTTCAGTATGACTGGTTGTACATTTTTCTGCAAGAGAGGGCAGGTGGGGGGAGGGGGAGAAGGCACATTAGATTTCCAACGTGGCCATTATTTTCCGAAAGCTGGAGCGAGTCGTATGCTTCTTGTGTGTGTGTGTGTGTGTGTGTGTGTGTGTGTGTGTGTGCGTGTGCGTGTGCGTGTGCGTGTGTGTGTGTGTGTGTGTGTGTGTGTGGCCCAATGCCGTGGGCCAGCCGCCGAACCACGTGAACTTAAACTCGATCCATGTGTGGGATGCGAGTAAGCGGCAACATGTTCCACATTTTTCCGTTTTTCTTGGTCGCCTCCGCTGGCATAACCAGCCGAAGGTCGTAGGTTCGATTCCTGCTCACGGCTGGTTATTTTTTCATCCACTTTTCTTTCTTCTTATTTACATTCAATTGGTTCTAATAACTTCCCCTGTACATTCCTTGGCATTACTGTCTGTTAGATCTCATTAATATTGTGTTAAAACACGGAAAAACGAGCCCTTACGTATACATTTCTTTCCCTTATTTCATTGAACGAGGGTCTCGTAATGGCAGACTTGGTGTGTTTAGGTTGTATAAGAGGGACAATTAATCAGCTGCCCGCTCATAATAAGTTCACGTGCTACGTGACGCCAAACATGCGCATAAGTGTTTTCACACTCGTTGTTTGGCTTATAGATGGCGTTGACTGTCACTCCTACTTCTAAATTCACATATAAACCCAAATAAGTGGATGGAGGGAAGGCCGCTGTGGTAGCTCAGTGGTTAGAGCATCGAACGCGTTATTCGAAGGTCGTAGGTTCGATTCCTGCCCACGGCTGGTTATTTTTTCATCCTCTTTTCTTTCATCTTATTTACATTCCATTGGTTCTTATAACTTCCCCTGTACATTCCTTGGCATTACTGTCTGTTAGATCTCATTTATATTGTGTTAAAACACGGAAAAACGAGCCCTTAGGTATACACCTCTTTCCCTTATTTCATTGAACGAGGGTCTCGTAATGGCAGACTTGGTGTGTTTAGGTTGTATAAGAGGGACAATTAATCAGCTGCCCGCTCATAATAAGTTCACGTGCTACGTGACGCCAAACATGCACATAAGAGTGTTTTCACACTCGTCGTTTGGCTTATAGATGGCGCTGACTGTCACT